CAGCAAATTATGGAAAAGGAGATCAAACTCCAAAACATACTACTTGCTACAAACGCCAAAGGACCTAAGTTTCCTTAGGAAGTACAATCTGCCATGTCCCTTCTTCTAGACAGCTTCACAGTTGCGTCTCCAGTCCAGTTTGTTGTCGTAGTGAACACCAAGGCATTTATATTCCTTCACCACCTCCATTCTTCTCCCATGATGTTAATAGGATTCAACTTGTTCCTGTTTTTTTCTGAAATCTAAAATAATTTCCCTTGTTTTGTTCACATTTAGGAACAGATGATTGTTTCCACACTATGCCACAAAGTGGTTCACCAGCTCTCTGATCTCAACCTTGTGTCCATCTTTTGATGCACCCAATGACTGCAGAGTCATCCAAGTGTTTCTGCAGAAGTCAGAACTTTTTCTGGTACTGGAAGTCAGAGGAGTGCCGAGTAAAAAGGAACGGTGAGAGTACTAGTTGCTTCAACGAACCAACTCCACAGCAATAACCAAACTGCAGGGGTTCTTAATAGTTCCTTGTTTGTTTGCTAAGGTGAAACAACAGAAGTCTCTCTAGGACCTTCATGGTGTGGGATGTCAGGGCAACAGGTCTATAGGCGCTGAGGACTGTTGGCTCAGTCTTTTTTTGTACAGGAACAAGGCAAGAGGTCTTCCACATTACTAGAACTATCTGCAGGGTCACAGAGCTGCTCTGCACAGGTCTTCTGGACTCTGGAGCTGACACCATCAGGGGTCAGAACATAGGACAGAGGAACCAGAATTCAGGCAGAATAGACAGTGGGATAACTTCAAATAGGCGTTTATTTAAGCAGAGCGGGCTGTGGATCCGTGGTACCAGTGGATAGAGCATTTATCACTGAAGCTCTGGTTTAACAGTTTAGTCCATCGCTATAGAACAAGGTAGGATCCAGCCAGTGGGCTTCCAACAGGATGCAACAGGCACTGCTCAGAGTGTCCCAGATATTGCAGCCCAGGAAAATATGCAGGAGTCCGAAACCAGGTTAGGGAAACTGATTAAAACAGGCTGGTTCAGAGGTCCATGAGTCCTAAGTCAGTTCAGGGAATCTGGTCAGACGGGAACAGACAAGCTCAGTGGTTGAGAGGCAGAAGGAGTCAGTAAATCAGAAACACTATGGAACGCTAAACCACTCTCTCCACTGAGAACAGATGGGAACCGACACACTCAGAGGATGAGAGGCAGAACAGGTCAGGATCAGGAAATCAGAAACACTGGAATGCTAAATAATGCATTCACTCTGAACAGAAGGAAGCCAAATGGAGTGAGAGATTTACATGCTATCCCCATGTTAGGGCATGTTCAAGAGCCAATTAATGGTTGGTGATGCAAAATGGTGCATTTCTAAGCAATCACATAGGCAGAATTGGAACAATGCCCAAATAGAGTGAAGGGAAGTTCCAACATCTTAACCTTTCTGTTAATTCAATTTAACCAGTTGGGGACTGGGTGTGGTTGTGGTACGGGGTAAGAGACAACTGGAGACAATGTTTTTTTCACTCAGGGTGTTATGGCCCCCGGTGCAGTAAAGCAGGTTCTGATACTGGGTCCTAGACAGGCTGAGGTCCTGCTGGGAGGGACTGTCATCAAGCTGTAGGTCCTGCAGCAGGTGCTGATACAAACTGAGAGTGCATCTAGTGGACCCAGGGACACAAGCATATACGTTATTGACTTTCCTGGAAATGTGAATGTATATTTGACATACACCACTGTTCCTCTCTAAGTAAATATAAGGTCTTTGGTGAGTTAAACAGAAGAGGAACCAGCAAGTGAATAGACACTCCTCCTATTTGATGATGCAGGGAGGCAAGCTGGACATGACTTCAACCTGTAGTCCACGTGGATGTTGTTTACAAGAGCGGTGAAATGACAAGCAACCAATCCCAATTGAACCAGAAACTTTGCTGTGATCAGTGTGGAAGTGCCTTAAATTCCATTATTATCTTCCTAGTTTTTCTAATATTCAGCGATTGCTTATTTTCCTGAAACCAAATGGTCAGTGATTTCACCTCATTCCTGAAGGCACTCTTGCAGTTGTCAGTAATGAGGCCTAAGATGTTGGTGTCTTCAGAAAAGTGGGAGATAACATATCAGCTGCGCCCGATTGTAGCCATACATGAAGAGGGAGTTATAAACCCTCACTCTATTTGCCTCACAAGGGAGTAAAAGTCCCACAGCAGCTAACTTGTTGTAATTAGGAGGAACCCCAATCAGCCAGAAGTGCCCAGTAGTTGCGGGATGATTCAGAAAAGCGCCCCAGCTTGACCGGTGGAAGCTCTGTGATTGCCAATGCAATCCGCTTATACAGGTGCTGGTCATAAAATTAGAATATCATGAAAAAGTAGATTGATTTCAGTAATTCCATTTAAAAAGTGAAACTTGTATATTATATTCATACATTACATACAAACTCATATATTTCAGATGTTTATTTTGTTTAATTTTGATGATTACAAATGACAACAAATTAAAATCTCAAATTCATCATATCAGAAAATTAGAATATTGTGAAAAGGTTCAAAATTGATGGCCCCTGGTGCCACACTCTAATCAGCTAATTAACTCAAACCACCTGCAAAAGCCTTTAAATGGTCTTTCAGTCTAGTTCTATAGGCTACACAATCATGGGGAAGACTGCTGACTTGACAGTTGTCCAAAAGACGACCATCGACACCTTGCACAAGGAGGGCAAGACACAAAAGGTCATCGCTAAAGAGGCTGGCTGTTCACAGAGCTCAGTGTCCAAGCACATTAATAGAGAGGCGAAGGGAAGGAAAAGATGTGGTCGAAAAAAGTGTACAAGCAAGAGAGATAACCGCACCCTGGAGAGGATTGTGAAACAAAACCCATTCAAAAATGTGGGGGAGATTCACAAAGAGTGGACTGCAGCTGGAGTGAGTGCTTCAAGAACCACCACACACAGACGTATGAAAGACATGGGTTTCTGCTGTCGCAATCCTTGTGTCAAGCCACTCTTGAACCACAGACAGCGTCAGAAGCGTCTTGCCTGGGCTAAAGAGAAACAGGACTGGACTGCTGGTGAGTGGTCCAAAGTCATGTTCTCTGATGAAAGTAAATTTTGCATTTCCTTTGGAAATCAAGGTCCCAGAGTCTGGAGGAAAAGAAGAGAGGCACTTCATCCACGTTGCTTGAAGTCCAGTGTAAAGTTTCCACAGTCAGTGATGGTTTGGGGTGCCATGTCATCTGCTGGTGTTGGTCCATTGTGTTTTCTGAGGTCCAGGGTCAACGCAGCCACATACCAGGAAGTTTTAGAGCACTTCATGCTTCCTGCAGCTGACCAACTTTTTGGAGATGCAGATTTCATTTTCCAACAGGACTTGGCACCTGCACACAGTGCCAAAGCTACCAGTACCTGGTTGAAGGACCATGGTATCCCTGTTCTTAATTGGCCAGCAAACTCTCCTGACCTTAACCCCATAGAAAATCTATGGGGTATTGTGAAGAAGAAGATGCAATACACCAGACCCAACAATTCAGAAGAGCTAAAAGCCACTATTAGAGCAACCTGGGCTATCATAACACCTGAGCAGTGCCACAGACTGATCGACTCCATGCCACGCCGCATTGCTGCAGTAATACAGGCCAAAGGAGGCCCAACTAAATACTGAGTGCTGTACATGCTCATACTTTTCATGTTCATACTTTTCAGTTGGCCAACATTTCTATAAATCCTTTGTTTTTATTGGTCTTCAGTAATATTCTAATTTTCTGATATGATGAATTTGAGATTTTCATTTGTTGTCATTTGTAATCATCAAAATTAAACAAAATAAACATCTGAAATATATGAGTTTGTATGTAATGTATGAATATAATATACAAGTTTCACTTTTTAAATGGAATTACTGAAATCAATCTACTTTTTCATGATATTCTAATTTTATGACTAGCACCTGTACACCACTTGCACATCCAGTTGAACTGGGGTATATGAGTAGCAGCAGCCTCGGGCAAAGGGGGTAAGGTGTGGTCCATGGCATAGCTTGGCAATGTGCAGATTCTGATTGTGGAGACAATCTTATATAATCTCACAAGGATTGATGTGAAAGTGGTCTAAAAGCTCCCCCAGCGAAGATGTAGCACCACCAGGTTTATGCAAATTTCCCAAAGAAACATCTCTGAGCTGAGAGTTGTTGTCTCCTCAGCACTTTGCGACTGTGGAGAGTGGTTGAATGTGATCAGATAGAACAGGCTTGTAAAGCGCAGTATGACCGTAAGCAAAAGGACAAGAGAGGCTCAATGGTGGGTTGCATCCAATTATATTACATATGGTGTGATCTGAGAGCTGCAAGGCTTACTGGGAGCTGTAGTTACAGGTCTTTTATGAATTTATCAGCACGACATGTAAATCTTTACTAACAGTGTTAAAAAAAAAAAGTAAATGGTGCTGTGCATGCAACAGATAGTCTTTGCTACCTACAGGCCCAAAGCCTGCAGAGGTACAATTCTGTTGCTCAAGAGAACCTCGACCTATTGAGGGGAAAAAAGGAATATGTTGATGATAATAGCATTGTTAGTTTTGCTAATAGGTTTGGGCCTATTCATTTTATGAACAGGTTCATAAAATGTTATGTTACCATTACCACCTTATGTTATATTTAATAAAAAGTATATTAAATCCCTGGTCAGAAATTCTGACTTTAATCTCGGAATTCTGACTTTTTTTCCTCAGAATTCTGACTTTAATCTCAGAATTTTTACTTTTTTCTCAGAAATTCAGTGGCCCTAATCCTTTTTCGTAAATAACAGATGCTACTTGCTTATAACCTAAAATAAAATATAAATTCATCATAATCTTGGCATACTGATGTCATTAAACACATTCATTATAGGGATGTGTGCGCATCTGCTCTAACGGTAGTGTGTTTGGCTGATTCCAACAGGTAGGCAGCATCGTGACGTAGTCCGCCACCAGCCTCCCTCTCCTCCTCCTCCCTCCTCCGTCACCGCCAGCCTCCCAGCTGCGTCCGCCGCTGTCCTGTCTGGCCGCCCCGGTGTCTGCTCCGCGCTCTGCCCCGCTCCCAACCCCCCCTCCCCGGACCCCCTGAAGCCTGTGCCTGCTCGTTCACCATCCCGGCTCCCTCCCTACTCTTTTCACCCGCGAGCGTTAAAAAAGAAAAAAAAAATGACGGGCATCGCCGCCGCTTCTTTCTTCTCTAATTCCTGCAGGTTCGGGGGCTGCGGTCTGCAGTTCGAGTCTCTCGCCGAGCTCATCGTCCATATCGAGGACATTCACATCGGTGAGTTGGGGCCAGAGAGGGGGCGCGGCGGAGCCTGCCAGCCCGGCTAGCAGTGATTTGCTAGCTAGTGATTTGCTAGCCAGTTAGCTTAACGCAGATAGGCTCAGCTTCACGGTCCGCTATTCGAGCTGCTCCGCTCGCCATCGAGCTTCGCAGTTGCTGCCTGTGTACAATTCCTCACTTTTATTTTCGTAAAACATAATGCTTCGTGTTTTTGTTATCAACGCGTATTTAGCCACCATATGAGAGCTGCAAAGCCGGCGGTGTCTCGGCCACAGGTTTTATAGGCATAACTAACATCCTGAACAGGCAGCGGTTTTCAGCTAACAGCCCTCAGCGGTCTGTTTACATTTGCAGGCCTGATGCTGCAGCTGCAGCATCTATCACCGCTTTATACTCAGCTGTGGAAGAATAGATCATCCGTTTTACCTGATGTTTCTACGGAAGAGGATTAGGGGCACTGAAAGAAAAAGTTAACTGATTTTTAAATATTATTTCAGTTTAATATGGGGAAAAATGTCAGAATTCTGACTTTAATCTCAGAATTCTGGATCTTAATGTAGATGGGCACCATGAAGGAAGAGATGTGGGAGCACTCAGCTTCACTGACAAAGATGTGAGTTGTTTCAGAGGGCAGGTAACACATTGGTGGAAAATGATGGAATTAGGTGACTTTTTACATTCCCGAGGGGTCCCCGGTGATGCTATTTCATTAATCATGGAGGAGAAGCTGATTAAAACAAGAGAGCTAGTTTAGTCTCTAAAACAGACATGGCTACGGCTTGATGCTAACATTTTTGTTAGCAGTCAGTATTCATTTAGAATTCTGAGATTAAAGTCAGAATTCTGTGGAAAAAAAGTCTAAATTGTGTGAAAAGGGTAAAAATTCTGAGATTTAAATCAGAATTCTGAGATTAAAGTCAGAATTCATTTAGAATTCTGAGATTAAAGTCAGAATTCATTTAGAATTCTGAGATTAAAGTCAGAATCCCTAAATTAAAGTCAGAATCCAGAGATTAAAGTCAGAATTATGAAAAAAATGTTGAATTGTGAGATTAAAGTCAGAATTTTGAGAAAAAAAGTCAGAATTCTGAGATTAAAGTCAGAATTCATTTAGAATTCTGAGATTAAAGTCAGAATCCCTAGATTAAATTTAGAATCCTGAGATTAAAGTCAGAATTATGTGGGGAAAAAAGGTAGAATTGTGAGATTAAAGTCAGAATTTTGAGAAAAAAGTCAGAATTCTGAGATTAAAGTCAGAATTCATTTAGAATTCTGAGATTAAAGTCAGAATCCCTAGATTAAATTTAGAATCCTGAGATTAAAGTCAGAATTGTGTGGGGAAAAAGGTAGAATTGTGAGATTAAAGTCAGAATTTTGAGAATAAAGTCAGAATTCTGAGAAAAAAGTCTGAATTCTGAGATTAAAGTCAGTATTCTGACTTTTTCTCATATTATACAAAAAAAAAAAAAAAAAAATCAGTTAATTTTTTTAATTTTTACAGTGGCCCTAATCCTCTCATCACTTTTCATACAATATCTTATACCGTTGTCTGTCAAACATAGTGTACATTATGGATCAAAACGTATGTTTTTAAACAGGAGCTTCAACTTATTGCTCTTTCTGAAAATGTTTATTTAAAGATTAAACCACAAACATGTAAAAAAGCCAAATGTTCATAACGCAATAATAAGTTATAAAATATGAACATTTCAAATGGATGCATAAATGCTTATATCACGTATATACATGCATATATTTTTTAATCTTTTTGTTTTAATCATTTTCAGATTGAGGTGCATTCTAAAGATTTTAGCTATTTTAAATTGATTATAATTAATAATTTTACTGAGATTATTCCTGTTCTGTTTTTTTTTTTTCTGTTAGTCTGTTTCTTAGTCTGTTCACCTTCATATAAATATAAGGAGTATTTTGCAAATTTATTAGTCTGTTGATTTTTATCTTTTTTTCAATTAATCGATTATTAATTGGATAACCAAAGATTTCTTAAAAAAGACTTTTTATAAAATTAGACCAGATGAAACTAAAACTTTTCAACTTGAGGATTTCTGAATAGACAAAATAAAAAAAAATCCTAAATTCAAAATGTTTATAAATATATATATTTTTTACAATTTTGATATAAGCACAGCTCTAATTGGATCACTCCGTCAGCTAAAGGCATGTTTTACAGTCTCTTTACTCCAGTTAACGATTAATCATTTACTAAATTATTTGACGATTATTTCAGTAATTGATTAATCACGATTAATCGCATTAATCGTTTCTGCCCTAATATAAAGTATCCCCTTCATCCCAAAATAGCACCCTGACTCCAATACCTCCTATAACAGTAGCTCACCCTAGTTGCATACAAAGGCTTTCAGAATAATGGCGCCCTGTTTAGCTTATTATATTTCACTTCTGTGTTTCACATTTTATTCTTGTTGTATGTATGTTTGGAGGTATTTTTGCACGGTTTTGCATATTTACCACAAGAGGACCATGCGACTGGGGGTATGTTGTTATGCATGTGTGCCAATAGTAAAAAAAAGAGAGAAATATAGCAAGCCAGCTAGAAGAAATTTTTGCCTCAGAAGTGCATTAAAATACCGGATGCAGAGTGATACTGATGAATAGTGCTTGGAATATATTATGAACGTTGGTGTTCACTGAAGTGCGAGTTAAGCGTCAGGGCCATTCATATTTTAATGCTAAATTGATTGAAATTCTGGTAGCAGATTGCGCACATCAGTGTTTGTTTTCTGGTTGCATCCAGCGCAAAAACATATTTTTAGGCTCAACATTGACTAAGTAAACACTAGTGTTTTATTTGAGGATGTATGTACATATATATATATATATATATATATATATATATATATATATATACATATGTATTTTTTTTCTGTGTGTGTGTTCTGTCTATCCATAGTACATGGCTACGCTCATTTAAAGGAGAATTCCGGTTTTTAACACTTTTAGCCCATTTTCTGTAGTGTCCAGGATGAAATCGAATGATCGACACCAAAATTTTGACAATTGGTCCTGTCTCTGCTTTTTGGCTCATTTAGAATCCACCCCTGGCTGCTTTAGAATGGCTTCCATAGAGCATGTCCGATAATGTCCTTAAAACAACCTTAAACGTTCTTTTTTTAAAATATGCTACTCACCGGGTCGTCAGCGCTGTTCAATGACGTTCCAAAAAAAGTTTCGTAAAGAAAAAACTAGGGCTGCAACTAACGATTATTTTAAAAATCGATGAATCGGACGATTATTTTTTCGATTAATCGATGAATCGGACAAAAAATATTTTTTATATTAACCTCTTTATTCCAAAATAAACATTTTAGACAGAACAAACAAGCACACAAGTACAGGTTGCTCATTAACTGTACTGGTGCAATATGAAAAATAAATGTTTGTGTTAAAACTACGCAAACTTACATGAGAAATGTAGCTGTACATCCACAAAATATAGGGTACTTTGTTTCATAAAGCGCAAAAAAAGACATTTTTGTTTTTAAAAGCCTCTAAGGGGTTCAAACAATAGGCCCCCCATTTCAACAAATGAGTTTTTTTTAGACTAGAAGAGTACTGCCTTTTAAGACAGGAAAGTACAGCAGTTAAAGTTGCTACTTGAGAAAATACTGAACCATAGAGATAAAAATAGCCCTGTGATTCAAATTATAAATTGTATTTGGAATAAAAATGAGAGAACTAGGGGTGCTAAAAAACACATCCTCCAAAGACAGATATTTACATGGGAATGTGGCATATAATTAATTGACATATTACTGATCTTGCTGGATTTTATTCTGCTTTACTTCTATAAATTGCAGGATCATCTTTACTTTATCTTTGCCAGAAGATTTAAACTTTAAAAGTCTTGCCCTCATAATTTGCAAGTTAATTTATTTATAAAGTAAATATAAACGCTGCTTAAGCTAATTCAAATGAAATTAAAAGTAAAATAAGTAGCCAACCTTATCACTGTCTGTAACCTACTAACACGGTAAGGAAAGCATCAGATGAGCTACCTGAGAAACTAACGTTACGTTTCCCCACTTTAAAACCAAACAAACATGGTGGTTCCGTGCCATGTTAATTTCTTTTGAAAAAAGTTGCATGTTATCACTTTTTTCGCTTTACAAAGCGCAGGCTATTTTAATTATTGTGATCAATTTGCGCCGTCAATCCCGGTGCATGCGCGCTTCATTTGCAGTCTGGACGCTGAGGCTCTGACTGAGAGGGACTCCTGCGGGAAAACGCGGTTGGGGTGGGGGAGGCGCCCCACGGCAGAGTAGGAACATGCATGCTTTCACGTAAGAGTCTCCAAAAGCCGCCAGTGACACCGAAAAAAGTCGCCAGATTTGTCGCTAGTCGCTTTTTTGAAAAATAGTCGCTGGAGGGGTCTGAAAAGTCGCGGAGTTGGCAACACTGCACCTGCGGCGCTGACTCGCTCTGCCGTATTTTTTTTTCTTCCTCTTTCAGTCAAGAGGCAGTGATGACGGCGCGGCGGATGACGCAATAATCGCGCGACACAACTAATCGATGATGAAATTCGTTGCCAACGCTTTTAAAAGTAGATTTTTATCGATTTTATCGATTCGTTGTTGCAGCCCTAGAAAAAACGTTCCTGTAGTGTTTTATTTAGCATTTTGTAAATCCCATTGAGTTCTGTTGGAATAGTCAATATTCCCCTGCCACCGGAAACGGAAATGGGGCCTGTTTACACAGTTGTAGTCTTTTCGCTTCACTCTGTGTACTCCGACGTCGAGAATCAAGAATCCACCTTTCGTATTCCATTTTCAGAGTTTTTTAAAGTGTTTAACAGAGACGTTAGCACCTCGACGTCGGAGTACACAGAGTGAAGCGAAAAGACTACAACTGTGTAAACAGGCCCCATTTCCGTTTCCGGTGGCAGGGGAATATTGACTATTCCAACAGAACTCAATGGGATTTACAAAATGCTAAATAAAACACTACAGGAACGTCTT